CTCGAACTTTTCATTTGCACCCCCCCCCTCAAACTTTCGATTTGCACTCCCCCTCGAACTTTTCATTTGCACCCCCTCTCAAACTTTCAATTTGGCGCCCCCCCCTAAGGTCGGCGCCCGGGGACATATGTCCCCCCCCCGCCCCCCCCCCTCGCTACGCCTCTGACCTGTCTCTCCCCATTCCCAATAATCGCAATTTTAACGAAAATAAAAGTTTTATTATGCACATCATTATGTACATTATGTACCTTATGAAAATGTCGGGTCCCACAGTACAACCCACCCCGCCCTTATGATCCACACAACTTAACACCTTTTATGATCCACACAACTTAACATCTTTATGAGCCACACAACGTAACACCTTTATGATCCACACAACTTAACATCTTTATGAGCCAAACAACGTAGCACCCTTATGAGCCACACAACTTAACATCTTTATGAGCCACACAACGTAGCACCCTTATGAGCCACACAACTTAACACACTGATGATCCACACAACTTAACAACTTTATGAGCCAAACACATCTTAACACACTTATGAGCCACACAACTTAACACCCTTATGAGCCACATAATTCAGCACATTGTAATGAAAAGCGAGAAAATTCGTCTCTCCGCCCTAACAACTTACACTTTGTATCTGTGTTGGGATTGTTATGCGGTTTTTTTTTTTTTACTCAAAGTTATTAAGATCTGGGGGGGGGGGGTTATGTTGGTTTAATTTACCTAAAGTTTCTTGCATGGGGTGGGGTGGCCTAGAGGTAGAGAGCTAGACTGCTGACCCGAAAGTCTCGATTTCGAGACCGGGTTCAAGACAATGGAACGTCCCTGAATCTACCTAAATCTGATGAACTTCATCAATCTGTCTTGGGCACGAACGAGGAAAGGTCAATTACCAAAATTTCTAATTTTTAATTAGATTAAGGTACAATAACTATACACAGGTGAGATTAAAAGGTGAGTTCAGGTGTGTCAGAACCTACACACCGGTTTTCCAGCACACATCATCGATAACACACGTCATCACGGGACAATCAGCGATCTAGGTCAGACTGGGTCACACCGACCTTAATGAGAAAAGGACCCGTGTGGTTTTCAGTCATGTGTTACCACGGGGCATGGCAGGCAAGATGAATTTCAAAACATTCAGGTCAACTGTAATAAAAAAAAACATGAAATATTCATTTGAATATGTCCGCGTTTACTAAGAATGAAGCAGTTTCTTTCTATTAAATAAAAATCTGTAAAATATTTTGGCGTATCCTTCAACCTACACATAATTTTCCTTCTCTAATTAACTACAAGGTCGCATATAGCAACCTATCGAGAGGGCCTATCCATGTCTCCAGATGGTCTCGACTGCAGGGGCGAAACTACAGTGCCGCCAGACCCCAAAATGCGTGGGGGGGGGGGGGGGGGGGGGCACGCCGTTTAGGGGGCCCACAGCCGACCATAATCAATTTTTTTATAGTTAAAAAAATTAACTTCATTGCAGTTTTGTAAAAAGAATAATATAGCCGCGGTTGGATTATCTTTATTCTATAGACACCATCCCACGCTCTTGTATATTCTTTTTCCCTTTGTTTTTAAACCACTATGAAAGCCGAGTCCTCTTTCTCCAATTAAACACACGCTGTTTTAGGCGAAATTCTTTTGAAAAAAAAAATCTAAGTCCATTGCGCGAGAGACAGCTAGATATTAAGACGACTTTTGCTTCTTTATAGCGTTGGAAAGGGGCCCGCTATGAATTGTGATTTTTACAATGTAAAATGTACGTGTTTTGTATTGGTAGATCTACTATTCTGTAATAATTTAATAACAATAATTTTTATTTTATGTATGTTTACTTATTTTTGTTTTACAAGATATGTGATAGTAAATGTGTATGATTTGAATTCTACTACAGTAGTGATGTTATACAGCAGCTAACACATGCTATATATATATATATATATATATACAGAGAGAGAGAGAGAGAGAGAGATAGGGGGATGGGAAAAATTGTTTGCGGCGTGACCCTTTTTTTCTAGTTCCGCCACTATTCCAGAGGGCGCAGTCTACACTCTTTTCTCCAGAAGGAAATAATGTTTTCTGAGGGCGTAGAATTCACTTTTACATAGGGCGGAGATTATAAAGGCTAGATATAATAATTACATTTATGCACCGTCAAGGCTAAATGGGAAAAAATGCATTGCCTTATCACTCATCATTATTACACGATTCAATTTTACTAAGTGCTTAATTTGTAGAAATGTTAAGAAAAAAACTTCACCAGCCTTGTGAATATTTTTGGAAATTGGGAGCAAGATATATTTGATACAATGTGACACAATGTGTTACCTGTTGCAGGGTGGTGACACAATGTGTGGCCTGTTGTAGGGTGGTGACACAATGTGTTATCTGTTGTACAGACTGACACCCGACCTAGACACGCTACTGTCTACACCTCCTACACTACACCTCTATAGTGCCTAGACTACACCTCTATAGTGCTTACACTACCCCTATAGTGCCTACATTACCTTTATAGGGCCTAGATTACACCTCTATAGGGCCTAGACTACACCTCTATAAGGCCTAGACTAAACCTCTATAGGACCTAGACTAGACCTCTTTAGGGCCTAGACTACACCTCTATAGGGCCTAGACTACACCTCTATAGGGCCTACACTACACCTCCTAAGGGCCTAGACTACACCTCTATAGGGCCTAGACTACACCTCTATAAGGCCTAGACTAAACCTCTATAGGACCTAGACTACACCTCTATAGGGCCTAGACTACACCTCTATGGGGCCTAGACTACACCTCCATAGGGCCTAGACTACACCTCTATAGGGCCTAGACTACACCTCTATAGTGCCTAGACTACACCTCTATAGGGCCTAGACTACGCCTCTATAGGACCTAGACTACACCTCTATAGGGCCTAGACTACCCCTCTATAGGGCCTAGACTACACCTCTATAGGGCCTAGACTACACCTCTATAGGGCCTAGACTACACCTCTATAGGGCCTAGACTACGCCTCTATAGGGCCTAGACTACACCTCTATAGGGCCTAGACTACACCGATAGGGCCTAGAGTACACCTCTGTAGGGTCTAGACTACACCTCTATAGGGCCTAGACTACACCTCTATAGGGCCTAAACTACACCTCCTAAGGGCCTAGACTACACCTCTATAGGGCCTAGACTACACCTCTATAAGGCCTAGACTAAACCTCTATAGGACCTAGACTACACCTCTATAGGGCCTAGACTACACCTCTATAGGGCCTAGACTACACCTCCATAGGGCCTAGACTACACCTCTATAGGGCCTAGACTACACCTCTATAGTGCCTAGACTACACCTCTATAGGGCCTAGACTACGCCTCTATAGGGCCTAGACTACACCTCTATAGGGCCTAGACTACACCCACATAACGACCAAACTACACAACATAGCGTTTGATGAACACCACACCACCCACACGTCAATATCACAAAATATAATCTTTAGCCTGCAATTATAAGTTCCCGACCATGAACCAGTATCTAGCGCTATGTAGGTATCAGACAGTTTCTATGTAAGTAGGTTCACAGATAAAGGTAACACTCGGAATCAATCGATTACTGAAAACACCCAATAAATCATTTTAGTTTCGTTTTCTTTTCATAGAAAAAAATCTTACTCTCTTCAAATGACGTAATGTTTAAGTTTAAACTGGAATTGAAATGTCCCTGTAGGTATTTAAACTTCTCTGTATGGCATAAAGTATTTTATACTTGTAATCATAGCGGTACCAGCCAGGCACTACCCTGGCTAAAGAACTCCTTACCTAAAGTTTGTATTGAATTATTAATGTCAGACTAGCTCGATGCAACTACTGCCTGAGCCACGAAAAAGCGGTTAACCGGGTGAGAATTGTATCTGGTTTAAGCTTAGCTAGTTACATTTTTTTTACATATAAGTTAGTTTTAAATTATTTGGTGTTTTATCCAAGTATTTTTAATTTTAAAATTATTGATTTTCTAAATGAAAAAACAGCGAGTTCAACAACTTGTCAAACATGCATTGCTATAAATAATAACAGAACAGAACAAACTTGGAACATTTTAAAATATTTATTTGTGTTTTAATAATTATTCTATTCGAACCACAAGTAAAAGTTATTAGAAACACAAAACACGGGAACATTAATTAAAAACACGAAGCACATGCAAACCATTAGAAACGCGAGCCACAGGTAATCACAATCCTTGTATGGCTTCCTGGTCGGCTTTCTCGGTAAACTTCACTTGCTTTGCTGTGGCTCTTTAAAAGAACTTTAGCATTTCTTATAGTTAAAAATTAAACTTAAGGGACCGTTTCTTGGTAGTCTGCCAGAGCAGATCAAAAGATTAACGTCTGAAAGAAAGTAGCCCACAGCAGACTAAATAAAGCAGCTAAAGATTTAAATGTGACGCAGGCGTTAAAGACGAAAGAAAAGTGGAAATATTAATCTTGTATGCCATTTAAATGTAAGTTTTGTTTCGTTGCACAAATGGCTCTATAGTACGTGATATATATCTTTTTTTATTTGCTCAGTAAATGGATTTTAAAACGATATAGATTTATTGTAAATAGCAATGAAATGTCGATTTTATAGATACATATAATCTCCGATTCTCCATATTTGTGACAGTTATTGATCTATAGGGCTCTATATCCTACCAGACTAGCTCAATATCATAAATAAACATAAGCCTTTTTCTTGCTGTTGGTTCTTCTTTGACATATTTCTCAACAAAACCAAAGCATTATTTTATAATTAAGCATGAATGTATTGATAAATAATGTATACATACGTGCATACGTACACACACATGTAAATATATATATATATATATATATATATATATATATATATATATATATATATATATATATATATATATATATATATATATTCAGTCCCTATTTTCACATCTATTTCAAATATTCCAAATATTCGTACAAATGTAACATGACAAATCCATTTTATCTTATAAACAGTTCCTACCAAATGAAACCTGAGAAAACAAACTGTAATATGGAAAGGTTATCCGATACGCTAGATTCAGAACCAAATATCACAGATGGAGGTGGAGGAGATTATAATTTCTCAGAAGATCGCGAGACCCCACCTGAAGATTTCCGAGTGATGAACGTTGTTCCATGTATGGACGATATTAGGGATGGTGTAGCACCAATTCTTTGTCCTGCGCGGATGAAGGGTGCCTATGACGACACATTCCAGTATTTAGATATTCAGTTCAGGTTGATGAGAGAAGATTTTCTCATTCCATTTCGTGAAGGAATATCTAAACTAAGAAAATTTGGAACCAACAGACAATGGAAAACAACAGAACTAAATCTTAGATTATACCACAATGTCCAGATTGTGAGCTGGAATTTAAAGGACCACCTAGCGCATTTGATTCTATTAGACGAAAAGCAAACAGAAAAAATCAATTGGGCCGTCTCAAAAAGACTCATACAAGGCTCTCTTGTGTGTTTGTCGAGGGATAGTTTTCAAACAATGGTTTTTGCGACCATTGATTTCTGTGAGACATATAATAAAGAACATGGTTTTATACCATTTGTTGTAAAAAGTGGATATGATGTTATTTATAGCGGTCATCCAGATGATGAGTATGTGATGGCTGAATCTACAACTCTATTCGAACCTTATCTTCATGTAATGCAGGGGCTACAGGCAAGCTATACAAATCTTCCACTAAGAGAATATATCCTCAAGTGTAGGACTGTCTTAAAACCGCCGAGGTATTTGTTAAATCATTACAAAAGTCGCACCGTATCAAAATACAATTTATCTTGTTTGATGAAAAGTTGCGAGGATTGGAAATGTCCAGTACTGACGACAACAAAATGGCCGCCATGTGAGAGCATGTGTTTAAACAAGTCACAAAGAGAAGCCGCCATCTTAGCCCTGACAAAAGAAATGGTGCTCATTCAAGGTCCTCCAGGGACAGGAAAAACGTATGTAGGTCTCAAGGTCATGGAGGCCATCATGAAAAACTTGGATGTTGTGTTCGGCACTGGGCCAGCCACTCCAATCTTGATTGTCTGTTACACGAACCACGCCTTAGATCAGTTCCTGGAAGGGATTTTAAAGTTCTGTGACGACGGTATAGTTAGGGTTGGCGGGGGAAGTAAATGTGAAAAACTTAAAAAATTCAATCTGAAAGAATTAAAAAAACAAGCATGGGGAAAAAAATGTGATCAATATTCATTTAACTATCAAGAATATTATTCAGAGAAAAATTCTCTAAAGCAAACACTGCAATCGTTAAGTAAAAATTTAGACTCCTTAAAATACAGAATCGTCTACGAAGGCGTAATGAGGAAATTTATGGATGAGAACCATTATAGGTCCCTGTGTAATGACTGTAAATTTACCGACGACACAAAATCAAGAATGGTACAATGGTTAAAGGCACCTGACGGTCTTCCAGATGTTAACGTACGTAAAATATTGGAAGATCTTCTGACAAAGTTGGTACTAAGATGGGATACAGAACTGCCTTCTCTTAGGGTGTCTTCACACAGTGAAATACAACAGAGAGCCAGCCTCTACCGGACAGTCGTGTCACGGTATGAAGAGAAATTACAAGCTCAGATTGAATGCAGCAATGGCCAGCAAAAAGTGGCATTGAAAGAAAAACTTGATTTATTAAGATTCAGATTTGTCGAAGACAAAGTGTTTAAAACGTATCTGCCCAAATCTGAATTTAAAAGAATTAAAAAATATTATTCAAAAAAAGAACGTTCTGATAAAGATACGATGGTTAAAGTTTGGGTGTTAGGACTAAACAACAATACGGACGATCTGTTACATGATCTAACAACACTAACTCAAGCTTCGAACATCCAACATTCAACAGCTGACAATAATGGTGTCGCGAATCTTGAATTATCCAACCCGATGTTAGACGAAGAAGATGAAAGTTATTTTAGAAATAACTACAGTTTAGAAATATACGCAATACAAGAACTAGAAGAAGAGTACAGAGCAATATTAAATGAAATTGAGAGAGACAAAAAAATATCCGAGCGTAGATTGAATATTAAAGAATTCATTGAAAATCTTTCGACGCCGCCTTTGACTGAAGATCAAGCAAGGGAGATAAGAGATGTATCACGTTTAGACATACGTAAAAGATTTGCCTTATATAACATGTGGTGTCAGGGTTACAGAAGAGAGCTGTTGAATGAACTTCAACAGACCACAAAGAATTTTGAAAACTTGAAAATGAATAAAGACAGAGAATCAAAAAGACAAACGGTTTGTCTTTTAAAAGAGGCAAAAGTAATCGGGATGACAACAACAGGAGCAGCAAAACATCGAGACGTTCTCCATGCTGTAGGCTCTAAAATTGTAGTCGTCGAGGAAGCGGCCGAGGTATTTGAGTCCCATATAATCACAGCACTGAATCCACAATGCAACCATCTGATCCTGATTGGTGACCACCAACAGCTGAGGCCGAAACCAAACGTCTACGAGCTGGCCAGACACTACGGTCTAGAGGTTTCCTTGTTTGAGAGACTCATCAAGAACAACGTCCCACATGTTGTGCTTAAGGTACAGCACAGAATGCGGCCTGAGATATCAAAACTTATGCGTCACATTTACCCTGAGCTGGAAGATGATGACTCAGTGTTGGAATATGAGCATATCAGGGGGGTTGAAAAAGATGTTTATTTCATCAATCACACTGTTAGGGAAACCCAAGTTAATGACAGCTGTAGCAAACAAAATTTGCATGAAGCTAAATACATTGTTGCGCTATGTATATATCTTCTAAATCAAGGCTATAGCCCAAAATCTATTACAATTCTTACGGCGTACACCGGGCAAGTGTTAGCTATAAAGAACAATGCAGCATCCCAGTATCTTGATAAAGAAGTTAGAGTTGCTGCAGTTGATGACTTTCAAGGAGAAGAAAACGATATCATTCTACTTTCTCTTGTGAGAAGTAATGAAAAGAAAAACGTTGGGTTCCTGAAGATTGACAACAGAATATGTGTGGCTTTGTCTCGAGCAAAGAAAGGCTTCTACGTGATAGGAAACTTTAACATTTTATGTGCTCAGAGTTCACTTTGGTCGAGAATTGTGGAAGACGCAAAAAGCCAAAACATGTTGGGTGAAGGTCTTCCTGTATGTTGTCACAATCACCCGGAAAACAGAGTGGACATAAAATCAGCAGAAGAGTTTAAGAAACGCCCGGAAGGTGGGTGTGGCATGAGGTGTGATAAGCCACCAGAGTGTGGTCACACATGTGAACTGCTTTGCCACGGATACGACCTACAACACAAACGATGTAACAAGCCTTGTAAAAGAACCTGCAGTGAAGGCCACCCGTGTAAGAAAATCTGTTCTATGGAGTGCAGATGCGAGGTTCTAGTTGTAAGATCTCTGCCTTGTGGACATGAGACACGCATGGCATGTAGCCAAAAACCAGAAGAAATATTTTGTCTAAGTCAATGTTCTACTGTTCTAGAATGTTCTCATCAATGTTCTGGAAAATGCGGGCGTTGTTTAAAATCTAAAGAACACAAACAATGTAAAGTTCTTGTAAGCCATACATTTTCCTGTGGTGATGTAGCTGAGATGCCATGTTACAAAACCAAGTCAGACCCAGCATGCCAGAGAGTGTGTGGAACTATTTTAGACTGCAAGCACAGTTGTACTGGAACATGTTCTACTTGTACGACTGACAAACATGTCGTCTGTTCTGTTCAGGTCAGTCACACCTGGCCGTGTGGTCACGTGTGTGTCGTACCTTGTCATGTAAGTCGCTCTGATCCGCCATGTCAACAGGTATGTAATGTTTCACTACCATGTAGTCACAGGTGTCGAAACATTTGCTCGGACTGTGCTAAAAATGGTCACAATTTATGTATGGAAACATGCAAGAAAGTTTTAAAATGTGATCACATCTGTAAAAGTAGATGCAGCAGTTGTCTTAATGGATCTCATCAGTTATGTGAAGAGATTTGTGGTCAAGAATTGACATGTGGACATAAATGTCAGGATAAATGTGGGATTTGTTCCCAGAGCTCCCACCCAACATGTTTACAAGAATGTCAGGATAAATTACCTTGTGGACACAAGTGTAGGGGAAAATGTGGAGTTTGTTCCCAAAACTCCCACCCAACATGTTTACAAGAATGTCAGGATAAATTACCTTGTGGACACAAGTGTAGTGGAAAATGTTCGGAGTGTAAGCGGAGAGAACGACATCAAGAATGTCAAGAGACGTGTACCAAAACACTGCTATGTGGACATGCGTGTACAGGTCAATGTGGACAACCTTGTCCAACCTGTCAAAATCCATGTCCGAATTCTTGTAAGCACAGATCCTGTAGGAACAAGAAATATGCGCACAAATGTGGCGAACCTTGTCAGCCTTGCGAGAACACAGCTGTGGTGAAATGTCAACACACCAAGATGAGAAAAACGTGCAGCGAGGTGTGGACAAAGAAGCCTTGTCAACAGCAATGTACCAAAACATTAAATTTTTACATTACGAAAAATGTCAAACCATACACATGTCGTCACGAATGTTCTGGAATCTGCAACGAGCCCTGCGTTTGTGCCATCTGTGAGAGCGTGTGTTCCATCGATCAGAAAATCTTATCGACACAAGAAGTTGCAGAACGAGAGGATTTGACAACAACAAGGCGACTTTTGATAAAGCTTCAGTTTTGTTCTCATATATTTTATGTGGATGAACTGGATAAATACATGAAATCTTTCGACCCAAATGGTACAGAATATATTGGTTGTCCTGAATGTTCATATCCCATTATGAACTGTTTGAGGTATGACAACATTTTAAAGGAGCGGCATGTAAGAAGAGAAACAAGGAAACAACTTTCTGGTGCTGCATCTCATCTTGTGGAGGTAAAAAGAGAAACAAGACGGAAGCCCAAACAGAAACTGATGAAACCACATCGTAGATTAAATGATCTGGATGAGCAACAAAGCTTTCATCACAACAGACATAGGTAAAGTTGAATTATTAGTACTATTTAAAGCTATTATATATATATATATATATATATATATATATATATATATATATATATATATATATATATATATATATATATATATACACATATATATATATATATATATATATATATATATATATATATATATATATATATATATATATATATTTATTTATTTATATATATATATATGGTTCCATGACTATGATAATAAATCCGAGACAAAATATCTCAAAGACAAAATAAATATTTCAGAACAAAAGATACAATGGACAAACTATCTCATACATCTAACTAAGAAAAATATCTACAATTTAATAGTGACAATGATCATTTCAAGTTTGTGATAAAAATCACTTTAATAATTAGCCGCTAATTTACCGTTGTATAAGTAATGAGTTGTTTACTTTTATTAACAGCCCACACCCTTCAATCGTGCGTACTCAACGGTATGATTCCAGAAAGATGTTCAAATCTACCTCGATGATATTACACCCTACAACGAGGTTTGAGAATGTCACCTCTAGAGGAAACACATTTGACAGACAACCTAGATACCAATCTGGCAAGCAACACGCGTACATGAATGATGGTCATAGTTCTGGATACTCCGGAACTTTTACTGCAAATAGAAGTTCGGTAAACTCCACTGAGGACTGTAGTAGGAGATCAATGGAACGGGACTTCAGTAGAAGGCATCGAGGCTTAAGTGAAACATCTTCACCAAGAGCTAAACAACACCATCGTAACTCAGAATCTTTAGCTGAACGTCAGACACTCTCTGAACAAAGAGACGATACAAGTTCTGCTAGATTTTATTTCGAAGATTTGACCCAAGAGCCAAACAAACGTGAAGCCTTGAGGCGCAAGAACCACTCCTACTGGAACCGTAAATACTAACATTTATGATGGCCGGAATTTTTAAAAATAGGTATTCATCACACAGCAGGGCAAATATAATTTGCTAACATTTAGGAGGGCGGTAGGGGATAAAAACTGTCAACCATTAAAAAACAACTAGGCTATATGTTTTAAAATGGCAATTTAAACATTGGTTAAAAAACATTCTGTAAGAATGTATTTATTTAAATGAATTTTTATTATTTTACACTTGTACAATAGTTTTAATAATTTTTTTTCAATTTTAATATTTTGATTCTTCTAAATAATTCAGTTGGTTTGTGTGAATATTTTAAGCATTATTCACTCTTCGCGTTTCATAATACAATGAAGCAGGAGTGAATATTTAGTTATGTATGTATTGTGAATGCATTTTTAATATTTATAACTTGATTATTACATATAAATAATATGTTTAAAATGATTTTCATTAAATGTTTAGATAACACGAGGTGACCCGCGGCGTAGCATACGCCTCTATTTAGTTGTTTTATTTTCCATTTATTTTTAAGTAATTCATAATTTAATTTTGTAAATTCGACACTACCAATGCTGCAACTGAAAATATTCAGCTTTAAAGCACTATCAGTAGATTTGAAGGACGATTATTCTCCCTTTCCCCTCTCCCGCATTCTCCACCCCGGTGAAAGCAGCCGTCCATGACGACAGTTTACAAACTACAATGAAAAGATCAAGCAGAACTTGTTACCTTCCCTTGGTTTAAAATAGTTTAAAATATGTGTCCCTAATAGCCGTCACTAATTCGACCAGCTCTACGACTGTAAACATTCGGAGTGAACCACAGCTCACCAGATTGGTGGGAGTGGGGGTGGTAGGGATATGCTCTGTTGCGCATGTCTGGAGAGTGAGGGAGGGGGCGTGTGTACGCGGTGGTGGTGTCCCGCATTGTCCTACGTAGAGAATTATATATATAAATTACAGGTACAGATATTGTGGGGTTTTTTTTTTGTTGAGAAAAAATATAGATCTAATTATTGAAAAAAGAACACAAGAAATGAGCCATAACGTTACTATCCAAATTCTTATCACAATTATATTTAAACAATTGATCTTTATTTATAATAGCGATGTTTTACTTAATCGCTTTGTTAGTATCATTATTCCTCTTAAAAGGAAGATCATTAAAAAGCGTTGGTAAATTCACGTATTCTCATAGAGCCTATGATCATTACAGAGTTGCAGCCTTACCTCTTGTTTTAGTTTAATTTAAAATTAAAAGTTTCAAAACATGTTTCTACAATATTTGTGTGTGGTGTGGTTTAATTAGTTAGTAATTATAATAAAAATTATTGATATTAACATACTATGTCACGATATATATTTCTACATATCCAATGCCATGAATCAGAAAAACCTTGTGTTAACATTTCATTTATACATGACGAAAAGTTGAATGATTTTTTGCAAGAAACGTTCGGTACTCAGAGAAGTAATAAAATAAAGATCTCAGTTTTCTGTGTTTTGTTTTAAATGACGTTAGGGCTACCATCAGTAAATTAAAAAAATTCTGAAGTCATAAAATTTCTAGCCCCAATAATTATCCACTACACCGGCTCAAAATGTGTGAGAACACGTATTGTAGTCTGGCCCAAAGGCGAATGTAACTATTTTTAGCGCAAATAATTCCCCTTTTTGTTTCGGTTTCATTTTAACCACAACTTGGTCACTCAGACTTTAAAATACATATTTTACATATGTCCATATGTTGCAAGTTGGATGTGTGTCGCGGGGAGCACTTCTACACATAGATAAAGTATTATTTCTATACTATATAAATAAATAAATAAATGGTTGTATATTATAATTTACATAACTTAAAATAGGAAAGTAATCAAGTGAAGATGTCCAATTTTTTACTGTAATTGTTAGCTAGTTAAAACCGAGCTTCAAACAGCAGGCTCGAAGCTACAGTAAAACAAACAGTTAAATTAAAAATTTCTCGGGATTTTAAGCGTTTATGTGCACATTTCCAAACTACTGAGTGGCACAAGTTTTTGATAGTATCAGTTTAGTTATCTTTCTATGATCAGGATTGGAGAAAGTAATTCGTACATATTGTGATGGCGTGCAAGCGCGAGTATTTTAGACTGTGTTTGTGACTTTTACTGCGTAAGTTGGAATGTTAGCTTGTGTTTGAGAGTGTTGCGGGATAGGCTTATACGCCCATAGCCACGTCACTGTCATTTGCATTATCATAATATGTGCAGCGACTGCTGAATATTAAGAAAACAACATCTAAGAATAGACATTTAGATAAAGACCTTAGCAGTAAAAGCATTATCGATTTCAGTTTCCATTTCAAAAGCTGCTATATATAAAGCTGATTCGATAAGCGCTAAGTGCCTGATTTGTAAGAAAACAAGTGGGCCTACCACACGGTAAGTTACAAATATCTAGTTTCTCTTGATACATTATATATATATATATATATATATATATATATATATATATATATATATATATATATATATATATATATATATATATATACAACACAAACAAAACACAAAACAAACCGGGAGGCTAGTATTATATAAAATTGTATATCTTCTTGTAGTTTGGTGCAGGTGTCTATAAAAGAGCTTTCTGAAACCTATCTGTAAAGTAACATGACATGTGTGTTTAATAAACGGCATATACCCGGCATTACCCGCCCTAACCACAACCAACCAAAACCAAAACACACATAAAGAAAGGAAACATAACATAAACACAAACACTAATACAAACGATAACACAAACCCAAACCCAACCACAAACACAAACGAAAACACAAAACCAACCACAAACAAAATACAAACACAAACCCAAAGAAAAAAAACACAAACGAAAACGAAAAAGAAACAACGAAAACGAACCAAATCAAAACGCAAACCCAACCACTAACGCAAACCCAACCTAAACACAAAGAAAACACAAACGCGAATATAAACGCAGTGCTCATAGTCTAGCCCGGGCGCCAAATCGCACCATGCGCCGGCTTAATAAACGAATATAATAACCCAACTTATTCATAGTATTTTGCACTCACTTAAACGAACGTATGCGCCAAACCGAACACGGGAATGCCCGGGCCCCAAATAGCACCTGGTCTGGGCGCATGAGGACTCCCGTATTCGATTCACTTAAAGACTATAGTAACCTTTCCTTTCCATACTCTATCGCACTGTGTAAAGCTAAATTATGCACCATAGCGCTCACAGAATAGCACAGGGCGCCAAATTGAACCCTGGTGGGGTGCCGGCGGACGCGCCTGTTTTAATTTAAAGAACAATTATAATACTCAAAGCTTAACCGTAAACGGAAAGAAATAAAAATATAGGACATGTAGGACCTGGCTTATTAACTGGTAATGATTTAAAAAAAAATATTATTAAACAGTAAGTTCAGTGTATAGAATAAATAAAAGGCAGTATTAAAAATACCTACAACATTTGCACTTGATCACTCAACGCTAATTATGTAATTATTTTTTCCCAACACCAAAACAAAGGAATAAAAAGTAAATTCTGTTCCACCCGATGTTTTTTAAAGGGAAGTATGTGTTTTTCTAATCAAGGGACGTAATGAGCCTAAAGGACTAAATGCAAATAATTTTCAGACAAAATTTGAAAATTTATAAACGTTGATAAAAAATTTTATTTTTAAAATTTTATATAATGTTCATATTGAAAATTATTATTTTAAGTACTAAAAATGAAAATTACTTTAAAACACTTTTAATATTAATTTTTAAACTCATAAATATAGACCATGAGCACTTTAATTATCTAATTTTTTGAATCCATAGAAGTATCGTTTTTTCTTATATTCCTTTGTAATCCTCGATTACAAACATTTTACAAACAAACATCCAGAATTGAACTTTATTATATATATATATACTAGCCGTCCCGGCCATGGCCCTGCTCTGGCTTATGTGAAAAACCTTTCTGTTAAAGACCATTACCTGTGTGTTTAGTAATCATCATAAACCCGTCATTGCCCACCCAAACCACAACCAACCAAAACAATAAAACGCAAACATAACGCTAACACAATTACAAATACAAACGAAAACAAAAACCTAACAACAAACCCAACCACAATCACAAACACCAATACAAACACAAAGAAAAAACAAACAAAAAAGCAAACGAAAACAAAAACCTAACAACAAACCCAACCACAACCACAAACACTATACGAACACAAAGAAAAAAACAAACGAAAAAGCAAACGAAAACAAACCAAATCCAAACGCAAAACCAACCACAAACACAAACCCAAAGAAAAAAAAAAAACGAAAAAGCAAACGAAAACAAACCAAATCCAAACGCAAAACCAACCACAAACACAAACCCAAAGAAAAAAACACAAACGAAAAAGCAAACGAAAACAAACCAAATCCAAACGCAAAACCAACCATAAACACAAATACAAACACAAACCCAAAGAAAAAAACACAAACGAAAACGAAAAAAGAAAGAACAAAAACGAACCAGTTCAAAACGCAACCACTAACGCAAACCCAACCAAACACAAAGAAAACACTAACGCGAACATAAACGCAAAGTGCTCACAGTCTAGCCCGGGGCAGAATCGCCTGTTTCAGATTAATAATCGACTATAGTACCCCAACTTATTCATAGTCTTTTGCACTCACATAAAAGAACGTAGGTGCCAAACCAAACCAAATGAACAATTATAATACTCCAAGCTTATTCGTAAAATACCTACAACATTTGCACTTGATCAATCCCCGCTAATTATGTAATTATTTTTTTTTCCCAACACCAAAACAAAGTAATAAAAAGTAAATTCTTTTCCACTAATGCAATGTTTTATAAAAGAAGCAATTGTGTTTTCCTAATTTATCAAAGGGAAGTAAGTGCTAAAGGACTAAATATAAATAATTTTCAGACATAATTATAATTTTTGTTATTTTTTAAAAATTGTGTTTAATGAACATGCCGACAATTATTACTATCAGTTTGAAAAATGAAAATTATTTCCCAACACTTTCAATAGTAATTTTTTAACTCATAAATTTAGACTATGAGCACGATAATAGTCTAACACTTAAATCCTTAGAAGTATGTCAACGACAAACAATATATTTATATATATATATATATATATATATATATATAATATTTATAAGTTTATTGTTACAGGACCAGAGGGTAACCACAGATTATCATATCTGTAGTGCCAACGAGAAAAAGTCACGCAAATGTCAGAATAAATTGTAAGATATATTATATTGCTCTAAGAAACACTGTGTTGAAGAAGTAATAAAAATGAACTCAAACAAAACAACGGAGTCGGTCTATGCCCGTCCGCCCAGACCGATGACGTATGGACGACTTAATACATGGGCAGAAATGCCCGACCCAGGGCAGCTTGTACTGTTTATGTCAGCTGAGAGAAAACAACTGGAACAGTTTTTACAATCGGATCAAATCTCTCCTAAAATGTTTTCTCTGCTGTTGAAAGCTGTAGACCACGCCCTTACAGCTCACCATCAGAAATTTGCTCTACAAAATTTGTTGGAGATAATTAGTCAGACCAAGTTTTTTAATCAACATTTGGTTCATTATTTTTATAACATTAGCATGTCCGACATGTGGGACACTGGACATGAAGAGATGGAAGCCAGTTCAAGAATTGTTCGAACTTTTGTGGAGATTCTACCATCCAAACTTTCAACAGGCTTCGCTTGTGTGACACAGCTGGCTAACATTTTAAACACGGCTCAAGAATTTAACGGAAAAAATAAGCTTTTGGAAGATTTGAAAAGTATTAGTGATTTAGCGAAGAAAATACACAGCTCTAAAAAGCTAAATGCTATAACCCAATCAGGAAAACAATTGCCCCAAGACGACAACGTGAAACCACCTGATGACTTTAGAACTGTGAAAGTAGTTCCAGCATTGAGTGATTTTAAAGAAAATGGGGCGATTTTTATCCGTCCTTCTAAATCAAAGGGCGTTTACGATGACGTTTCTCAGTATTTAGATATTCAGTTCAGGCTGATGAGGGAAGATTTTCTCATTCCGTTGCGTCAAGGGATATCAGAACTGAGAAAACATGGAACTAACAGGCATTGGAAAACTGGCGATTTAAATCTTAGATTGTACCGTAATGTTCGTATTGACGGTTGGGAATTAGACAGACATATTTTAATTCATTGGATCAGCTTTGATACAGCGCAAACAATACGCGTCAATTGGAAGGGTTCAAAACGACTTATCAATGGGTCCGTTGTGTGTCTTTCTAGCGACAATTTTAAAACAATGATATTTGCCATAGTAGACTTACGTGATAAGAATGACAGAGAAAACGGTTTGGTATCCGTAGTTGTGGAAAGCGGGTATGATGTTATTTATAAGAGTCATCCAGGTGATGAGTACATTATGGCTGAATCCACGACGCTATTTGAACCTTACCGTCATGTATTAGTGGGACTACAAGCAAGCTACACAGATCTTCCATTAACAGATTACATCCTCAAGTGTAGGACTGTCTTAAAACCACCGAGGTATTTGTTAAATTATTACAAAAGTCGCACCGTCCCAAAATACAATTTATCTTGTTTGATGAAAAGTTGCGAGGATTGGGAATGTCCAGTACTGACGACAACAAAATGGCCGCCATGTGAGAGCATGTGTTTAAACAAGTCACAAAGAGAAGCCGCCATCTTAGCCCTGACAAAAGAAATGGTGCTCATTCAAGGTCCTCCAGGGACAGGAAAAACGTATGTAGGTCTCAAGGTCATGGAGACCATCATGAAAAACTTGGATGTTGTGTTCGGCACTGGGCCAGCCACTCCAATCTTGATTGTCTGTTACACGAACCACGCCTTAGATCAGTTCCTGGAAGGGATTTTAAAGTTCTGTGACGACGGTATAGTTAGGGTTGGCGGGGGAAGTAAAAGTGAACAACTTAAGGAGTTTAATCTCAACGAAAAAAAACAAAGCACTAGAAAAGAGAACTTATTCAATGGCAAATCAGTCAGTGTATTGAAGAAAGAAAATCAAGACGAACTAAACAGTATTATAATAAACTTAGACTCATATGGCAATCACATAGACAATTTAAAATTTAGAATTATGCATGAAAACGTTTTATCAAAATATATGGATGAACAACACTATCTATCCCTGTATAAAGATTGTCAATTTACTGACAACAAAAAGTCCAAGTTATCACAATGGCTGCATGCCCCACACAGCACAACTGAAGATAACCCACAAACCATTTTGGAAGATCTTCTCACCAAGTTGGTATTAAAATGGGACCTGGTACTTCCCGACATGACGGTAACTCTGCCTTGTGATATAATACAGAGAGCCAGCCTTTACTGTACAGTGGCATCCAGATACAAGGAAGATTTAAAAATCAACATTGAAAATAGTTCGGATGACGATGAAATTAAAAGACTTGGAGAAAAAATGAATGCAATGAGCCACCGGTTTTTAATGGATCAGGATATTCAACTATATCTGACAGATGAAATAAACAACGAGTTGGTTAAAACACACGTGTCTCACCATATGGGACAACTATTTAAAGTCTGGGTTTTAGGTCTGAACAACGACAACGAAGTTCAGATACACGATGCAACAATATTGAAGAATGCTCTACAGGTTCGTGATTCTGGATTTTTCAATGACAACACCAAAAGATCAAGTGTGACAAAGTCTGGTGGTGAAGATACTGAGTCAAATTCTGAAAAAACTGTTTTTTCTAGAGAAGATTACAGGACTGAGGTTCAATCGTTAGTTGAGATTGAAGACTTATATGATTTAGTTGTGAAGGAATTGGGTGAAAGCAATTGGATCAAAGTACAAAGAGTTAAATCCAAACATGTTTACAAGTTACTAACAGAAGATGCCATGGACGAAAAAACTGCAAAGACTATCAGTGATATTTCCAAAATAAAATTAAGAGAACGTTTTTCTCTTTATAACCTCTGGTGCCGACGCTACCGGGATGATTTAATTAGACAGATTCAAGAATGTGTAGAAAAAATAGAAGATATTAAAAAAAGAATCAAACAATTGGACGATGAAGAGATTTTATTTATTTTCAAAACAGCAAAAGTAATCGGGATGACAACAACTGGTGCTGCAAAACATCGAGACGTTCTCCAGGCTGTTGGCTCTAGAATTGTAGTGGTTGAGGAAGCGGCCGAGGTATTTGAGTCCCATATAATCACTGCACTGAACCCACAGTGCAACCATCTGATCCTGATTGGTGACCACCAACAGCTGAGGCCGAAACCAAACGTCTACGAGCTGGCCAGACACTACGGTCTAGAGGTTTCCTTGTTTGAGAGACTCATCAAGAACAACGTCCCGCATGTTGTGCTTAAGGTACAGCACAGAATGCGGCCTGAGATATCAAAACTTATGCGTCACATTTACCCTGAGCTGGAAGACGATGACTCTGTGTTGAAATATGAGCACATCAGGGGAGTGGGAAAAGATGTTTTTTTTATCAACCACAATTTTAGTGAATCCCAAGTAGATGACAGCTTAAGTAAAGAAAACATACACGAGGCAGTATACATAGCGGGACTTTGTAAATATCTTATTAACAAAAACCATAGTCCCAGTTCAATTACAATACTTACAACTTATACAGGGCAGGTAATAGCTATAAGAAACCACGTTAAAAAGTTAGGTATCGATCGCAGTGTGCGAATCGTTGCAGTTGATGACTTCCAAGGAGAAGAAAACGATATCATTCTACTTTCTCTTGTAAGAAGCAATGAAGATGAAAATGTTGGATTCTTGAAGGTGGACAACAGGATCTGTGTAGCTTTGTCTAGAGCAAAAAAAGGTTTGTATGTTATTGGGAACTTTGATCTATTAGCCTCTCAGAGCAAGCTGTGGTCAAAAATTGTCAGTGCTGCCAAAAAGGAGAAAATGTTTGGTGAAGGTCTTCCCATATTTTGTCGAAATCATCCTGAAAATAAAATTGAAATAAAAACTGCTCATGAATTCATAACACTTACACATAGTGGATGTGGGTTGAAATGTGAAAAATTGCTTTCTTGCGGACATTCGTGTGCATTGCCTTGCCATTCGTATGATTTAGACCAAAAAATACACACATGTAGTGAACCTTGCTCTAAAACCTGTAGCGAAGGCCACCCTTGTACCAAACAATGTGCAATGGAATGTGGACAATGCCAGTTTCCTGTTTTAAAATCTCTACCTTGTGGACATGATGTAGAGATCCCATGTGGCAAGAAACCAGAAGAATATATTTGTCTAAGTCAATGTTCTTCTGTTCTACAATGTTCTCATCAATGTTCTGGAAAATGTGGGGATTGTTTAAAATCTAAACAACACAAACAATGTCAAGTTCTTGTAAACCATACATTTTCCTGTGGTGATGTAGCTGAGATGCCATGTTACAAGACCAAGTCAGACCCAGCTTGCAAGAGAGTGTGTGGAACTATTTTAGACTGCAAGCACAGTTGTACTGGAACATGTTCTACTTGTTCAAGTGACAAACATGTCGTCTGTTCTGTTCAGGTCAGTTACACCTGGACGTGTGGTCACGTAGATGACATACCTTGTCATGTAAGCCACCAGACCAGCTTCCAATGTAATAAGAAATGTTGTTTTACCTTAAAATGTACTCACAAGTGTGTTGGAAATTGCTTAAATTGTGCCAACAATGGTCACAGTCCCTGTAAAGAAATCTGTGGACAAGTGTTAAAGTGTGGACATTGCTGTACCGGTGTATGTAGTGATTGCTTAGATGGTCAGCATGTCGCATGCAATCAGGTATGTGGTCAAGTGTTGCCATGTGAGCATAAATGTCAGGGCAAGTGTCGACTGTGTGATTTAGATGGTCATCTTCAGTGTACAGAGTTATGTCAGAGTACACTTACATGCGGCCATCAATGTCAGGGTAAATGTGGAGTTTGTTCCCAGAGCTCACACCCAACATGTTTACAAGAATGTCAGAAAAAACTACCATGTGGACACAAGTGTAGGGGAAAATGTGGGGATTGTAAAGAAAGCGAAGCACACCCTCAGTGTCAAGACAAGTGCAACAAGACACTACCTTGTGGACATAAGTGTATTGGAAATTGTAGCAAATGTTATGAAAGAAAAACACACGAAGAATGTCAAGACAAATGCAGCCAGATTCTACCATGCGGTCACACGTGTGTAGGGAAATGTGGCGAGTGTAATGAAAGAAAAACACATCAAGAATGTGGAGCCAGGTGCAACAAGATTCCATTATGTGGTCATGCGTGTCCTAGTAAATGTGGTCAACCCTGTCCACCCTGCCAACAGCCATGTCCTAATTCCTGCAGACACAGATCTTGTCGTACAAACAAGAACAAACCTTTATGTGGTGAGCTATGTCAGCCGTGCATGAAGAAACTTGTCATCGAGTGTCCACATCAGAAGATGACAAAATTGTGTAAAGAAATGTGGCAAACACCCCCATGTGAGATGAAGTGTACCAAAACCCTGAAAATGTTCTTACTAAAAAATGGCAAACCGTATTTTTGTAGACATCCATGCTCTGGTTTGTGTAACGAAATTTGCGTCTGTACCATTTGTGAACGCATTTTCCCGATTGATAAAAATATTTTAATTCCCAATATAAATGAAAGAACAGAATCTGAGCGATTAGTATTGAAGATTCCATCATGTTCTCATATTTTCTATGTCGATGAACTGGATAAATACATGAAAACGTTTGACCAAAATGGCACAGAATATATTGGTTGTCCTGAATGTTCACATCCCATTATGAACTGTTTGAGGTATGACAACATTTTAAAGGAGCGGCGTGTAAGAAGAGAAGCACTGAAACAACTTTCTGGTGCTATTGGTGGATCTCATCTTGTGGAAGAAATCAAAGAAATAAAACAAAGTCCAGATCTCAGAGCTGATGAACAAACAAACTCTATCAATAACGACTCTCAGAATTCAATGATAGTTCAACTTACTTCAGCAAGTGAACAGAGGTTTAGTGATAACTTTGGGGATAGTGATGCTACTATACTCAAAGCTCAAGGAGAAACCTTACGCAAAATCATTCGATTCCAAAATAGAAAAGACGTTCGAACTGTAAATCCCCGCCAATTCAGGTAGGTAATGTCCTAATTCTTTTTTCCAACACACACATTCTAATGAAATAAATAGTAACACCGTTAATAAATAATGAGAAACATCAACTACTATTAATGGCGTTGGAACATGCACTATGCATATATATATATATATATATATATATATATATATATATATATATATATATATATATATATATATATATATTTATAAATATATATTTATAAATGTATATATATATATATATATATATATATATATATATATATATATATATATATATATATATATATATATATATATATATATATATATATGTGTGTGTGTGTGTGTGTGTGTGTCTGTGTGTCTGTGTGTCTGTGTGTGTATTATTTGTGTGTGTGTCATTGGTATTTTAATTTGAAGAAATAATTTATATAATTTTTCTAGATCTCAGTCGTCTATGGAAAACACAACGAGAGAAAATTCAGCCTCACTCAACTGGAGACGACGTGGTCCTGAATCGTCTGGTCAAGAAGGCTCCTGGAGAATGTCCAGCAGTAGCTACACGACGAGAGGCAAATCTGATCAAGCATCGTGGAGACTGGACACAGGAGCTTCGGGAGGCAGAGACTTCTCTGATTGGCTAGCTAAGCGGAAGTCGTCAACCAGCTCAGCCAATGAAGAAAATACACTGGTGTCGGAGAAAGAGGAGAATAAATAAGTTCGCAAAAGTAATTTTAGAATTTTACAAGTCATCAGCAGAAATAGTTTTAAAAAATCATTTCACTTATTTAAACAGTATGAAAAATTAATAACAACATCGATACCCACATTTCTATAAATCTATTCGTAAACATTTTTTTTTTCATTTCTCTGGATATTTAAATGTATAAATGTACTTTTGTTTTAAACATTAATTATTGCTTTCATTATTATGCTTTTATTAATATTTTTTACTTTCTTGTATAGAGAAAGTCATGTAATCGTGCAAAAAAAAAAATCGAGATTTTTACAAATCGCGACGTTTTACACCTCACTGATACGGAAAAACATAATTTTGCAATCTTGTCCGTATGTCTGTGTGTCTGTGTGTCTGTCTGTCTGTGTGTAAACACGATAACTTGAGTACCGTTACAGCTAGGTTGATGAAATTTCATATATAAGTAATTTTAAAAATCTTAGATCCTGATCAACTTTTGAGCGATTTCCGATAACCGGAAGTGGTACTTTTTCTACTTTGAATTTTTCAAAAGCCTATAACTTGAGTACTATTTCAGATAGATAAATGAAATTTCACATGTAGGTAAAAGATCTAATTTTCTGCTTTCTGTCAAATTTTTAGTAATTTCCGTTGACCGGAAGTACTAATTTACGCTATTTTCGATTTCTTAAAAAACGCATGTAAATTTATAAAGTACTAATAATATTGCGCACTATTATGCACATTTTGTTTTGGCGTTCGCTTGGTGCGCAATTCTTCTTCTATGAGATTCTATTCTATTTTTAAAAGTTTACGTAATTAAAAATCATGTCTATTATTCACGTTATATAAGAATATTCGAGAAAGTTTAGGGGAGATAACTCCCGGTTTATTTTTATTTTATTATTTATTTTAAACTCAGTTTTACAAAGTATTTTTAATGTACAAAATCAGTAGAAAATAATAAATGATCTCAGGAAACTTAAAAAAAAAACACAATGAAAAAAAGTACTTGTTACACAGCGTTTATTATTTTTTTATGCAACCGTTTATCATGGGAATGATAAACAGAGAACTCGTTATAATTTAGGCTTTTCATCGCGTTCGGATGTTTATACAATCGGACCATAAATATTATTGCATATTATTCTTCAAATCTATGTACGTTAAAATATACTGAAAATTTGCCTGCCGTATATACATTGGATTTGGGATATAATGGCTCTGTTCTTTTATGTTCGATGGTGTTTACTCCAGCAAATAAAACAATTAGATTAGGTACCTTCAAATTAAAATCGGTCATGGTTGCCTGTGTGTAGATAAAAAGCTGGTTTTAACAATTATTTTTTAAACATTTAAAAATGTATTGTCATTATTTTATTTTAATATTGTATTTATTTGATGCAAGATATACATCTAATCTGCCGTTGCTAGAGTCACACTCAAAATACAACGAAGTAAAAAAAAAATAGGCAAAAAAAAAATAACACTTAAACATTATTTTTCATGATATAATGAAGTTTATTTTTAAAAGAACAAGTCTTTCATTTTTTTTTGTGTGTTTTTAAAATAAAAATCATTTAGAAAATCATTTAGAAAATAATAGGAAAAAAAAAATAAACTAAAAAGACAAAATAGAAAGCGATAATTTTGAAGTGAGCAAATTTCTTTATCAAAATTGTCTACCGAATAAAAAAATTTGGTTATTTGACACTTTAAAAAAAGAAAAGTAATGATAATAAAATTGGTGTGCACATAAACTAGAGTTCTTAAAAGTTAATTTTTGTACTTTTTTAAAAACTTTGATAATTTATAATACGTGTTAAAAATAGAGACAAAATTTATTTCAACATAAAAAAGCCATTGTTGTTTTTTTAAACAGAAGTAATTGTTTTTATTATCTGTTAAAAATGATAATCTTTTAAAAATAAATTTTAAAAACCCACACACACATCTATACTCGTAAGCACGCACCCATGCACACTTACAAACACACTCAGACACACACATTTTAATCTTATTTAATGGCTGATTAACGAGAAAAATTACATTAGTAGGCCTACATGTAAAAAGTTTCTTTTTTCAATGTTATTCTACTAATTGCATGCGCTCTTTAAAATTTGTTAGAATTTTGCTCTCTAATTATAATGAAAAATGTAAGAATCATTTTAAATAAAATATAATAAGAATATCATCATGGTGTCACTCACTCCTTTGTTGACTCAAAAAGGGTGTAAGAATAGTGCTTTATATGTCTAGTCATTCACGACCTACGGTTGTCCTAAAATTTTGCAAGTTCAAATGTTGTTTAAATATAGCATAGTCAGTTCTACACTCAGAAGCTTTTTTAAGGGGCCATGTCACCCAGAGAAAGGGAGAGTACCAAATATATTTGCCAACAAACTTTCAGACTTTTAACATGTTAATTTCACAGTAGTATTTATTATGCAGATATAGGCTATACGTGGGTGTGTAAACACATTTTATATTTGTACTATAGGCTTCTTTTCAAAGTTTTAAAATATTTATTTGCACACTGATTTAGCGAAAATATTTCCGATTTAATTTTTCTTTATAGCTATTTTTAAGGTACAATAAACTTTTAAATCATCATTAAATAACCACATGATTACTGCCAATCGATGTGTAGATGGTAAATAACTTAAACAAATCCAAACATGTTTACAATATCTAAACATTAGTAAACAGCTGCTCCATCAACAAGATTTATAAGTGACCAGCACACGGAAATACATGCAATGCTTCGTTGTCTCCAATATTATATTTTTAATATGCATACCATTGTAGCTTACGAGTCAGACTACGTAACGTTCCTTTGAAAAAAATATTAATATTCATGTCAGCTAGACTGGAATCTTTCAAGTGGACATGGAGATTTACGGGAAAGCTATCGAGTGTTGTCAAAGCCTATGATAATTAAGGGCATGGGCACAAATGCCCGACCCAAACCAAGTTTTTAATCAGCATATGGTTAATTTTCTTAATGAAATGAGCATGGCCAATGGATGGGAAAACAAGAGTTGGAAGCGAGCACTCGTGTTTTACGTAGACTTATAGAGTTGGTGCCGTCCAATGTTCAGACAGCTTATGCATGTATAGTTCAGTTGTTAAATATTTTAGATGCAACTCAGGAGTTTAAAGACAAGCATCAACTTGTTAGTTCATTAAAAAATATTATAGATTTAGCTAAGGAGATTCACAACTAGCAGAAACAAAATACTCAAATGGGTGTTGAAAGTAAAACACGTCTGCAAATAAAACACCAGGAGCCCCCTAAGAACTTCAAGCACCAAACACCCCCCCCTCTCCCCCCCCCCCCCACCCCCACCACACACACCCGTTCCCGCCGGAGCACTTCCATCCTCAATAACCCGGATGAAATATTTTAAAAAAAAATAAAAACTAAAAAAAAATTATCTGAAAATATATATTTTTAGCCATTCTTAACTCAGGCGAACACTCATGTCTGTTTCATTTATTAAAATAAATAAATGATATAATTTTCTTCAAGTTGGGAGTGGTTTTTTTAAGGATGTTAAAAAATAAAATTCAATATATTATATCAAATTAACCATGCGAGATAACTACGGCGAAAGTGTTTAGTAAAAAATAATTTCATGTTTATTCCCCTTTGACCAAAGTTTTATTGCTTCATAATAATGATTTTAAAATTAAAGCTGGACCACATGATTCTCTTAAGATTTAAGTCATTTAATTTGTAAAGATTTTCAATAATATATGAGATTATCAAAATTTTGTTTTGTAATATATTTTGTAATATATTGAATTTTATTTGATTTCGAAAATAATTTTTTTTTGATTGCACAAAACATAAAGGGAGGTCGCCTCAGTATAACAACGAAGTGAAGTAATTTCATGGTTATTCCCCGTTGACCATCGTTTTATGGCTTCATAATAACGATTTTAAAATTAAAAGCTCGACAACCTATACGAAACTAACAAATAAACAATAAAAACACAATCATTTCTGTTTGAATAGTTTCAAATGTTTTTTTAAAATAATTTTTTTTATATATACATGTTCATTCTGATGCTATAAATTAAAGAAATGAAATGATTATCTTAAGATTTAAATCGTTTAATTTGTAAAGATGTTCAAAAATATATGAGATTATCAAAATTTTATTGTTTTGATATACGTTGAATTTTTATGTGATTTCGAAATTATTTTTTTTTAAATGTTTACACAAAATATAAAAGGAAGTTTCCTCAGTATAGCTAGGAATTGAAGTAGTTTCATGGTTATTCCCCTTTGAACATAGCTTTATTGCTTCGTAATAACGATTTTAAAATTAAAAGCTGGACAACTTTTACGAAACTAACAAACAGACAATAAAAAGCATAGCATTTCTGTTTGAATAGTTTCAAATGTTTTTTAAAAAAAATGTTTATATATAGGCCTACATGTTCATATCGTTGCTCTGAAATTAAAGAAATTAAATGATACACTTAATATTTAAATCTTTTAATTTGTAAAAAAACGTTCAGAAATAAATAAGATTATAAAAAAAAAATTGGTGATATTTAGTGCACTTTGAACTTCTATTTGATTTCGAAAATTAATTTGAAAACAATGTTTGCTAAAAAAGAAGGGAGGTAGACTCAGTATAAAAAAGTATAATTACAAAGAGAAGTGATTTCATTGTTATTCCCCTTGGATGAAAACTTAATTGCTCTACTTTAAAATTTTGAAATTCAAGCGGGATAACCTTCTCGCGGAATAACTACATTTTTATACCCATTAATAAATAAAACCATTTTAAAAAACAAGCTATCATAAATATTATATATATATATATATATATATATATATATATATATATATATATATATATATATATATATATATATATATATATATATATATATATATATATATATATATATATATATATATATATATATTACACATACTGTAAATATACATAAAAATAAATAAATAAATAAATATAAGGCCTATAGGCCTATATATATATATTATATATATATATATATATATATATATATATATATATATATATATATATATATATATATATATATATATATATATATATATAATGTATACAAGTCCATAAAATAAACTAAGTAGGTCACACACACACACACACACATACATACATATATATATATATATATATATATATATATATATATATATATATATATATATATATATATATATATATATATATATATATATATATATATATAACAGAGAGCGAGAGAAAGAGTATATACATATATATATAGAGAGAGAGATGCCAGGAAGAAACTCTGATCATCAAAGAACAAAATCCAAGACAGTCAGCGTCACCGACCACGTGCAACAAGAGGTCACGTTCAAAA